ATAGTTGTTTTGGTGGCAGTGGTGCTGGTGGTGATGGTTGAATTTATTATTATTATTATTATTATTAGTATTATTATTATTATTAGTATTATTGTTTGATGGGTTATTTATAATCAAATTTGTTGTTAGATCTAGTATATATATATATATATATATATATATATATATATATTTATATATTATATAACTAACAAAAAAAATATTTATAAAAACTCATAATTAATTTAGAAATTAATTTTTAATTTAAATCCTGAAATTTACTAAAAATTGTTTTTATTTGTTATCAAGTATTAATAATTAAATGAATCTTATATAAATATATATATATATATATACATACAGTATATATAATCCGTATATACAGTATATATATATATATATATATATAAAAATAATAAATACTGTTATACTTATATATACTATATAAAAAAATAATAATAAATATTTAACTATTTAATTTATCAGTTGTAAGTTTATTGAATTTATTTTTTATAAAATCTATTTATTTATTTTCTATTATTATTAATTGTTAATTAGACTATTGTTTACCAAACTATAGCTGAAAATATTTTAGTTAATTTAGCAAATTATTTAAGTTAAGACATTTGTATATAATTTTTAATTAAAATAATTAAATTAAAATTTTTTTTTTTTAAATAAAATATATTTGAAATTAATTTTACATGCCATATATACAGTATGTTTAATACGGATAATGTATTAGGAAATAACAAAAAATTTAAAATTGACATATTTATTGACGTAAATAAGTTTATTAATTTAATTTAATTAATTTTTTTCAAATACAGTTTTTTATATATATTTTTATATATACAATATATATGATAGTAATTATAAAAAAAATTTTTTACAAATCATACTAAAGTTACTAAACAACAAACAAAATGATGAATCGTTTTCTAATATTGTTTGTAACAATTGTTGTCGTTATCAGTGCTTTTCGTAAGTTTTTTTTAATTATAAAATTTATTTTTTTTTCTCATTTTAATTACTTTAATAATTACTATTCGATTTTTAGTAATTATAATATATAATTTTTATTTATTTAAAAATTTTTTTTTTAAAAAAATAGTATCAAGCACTATTGTTGCTCAACCTAATTTTGAACAAACATTTGGCAAAGAAGTAGATGATTAAAAACTTTTAATGCGAAAAAAAATTATTATAATTTTTATATTTTAATTATTTCCAAATAAATATATAAAAACATGTTTAATACAAAAATTAAATATATATTGTTTTAAAAACATTAAATTATATTATTAACGATTATGATTTTAATTTAAAGTAACCTAAAAAAATGTATTTTTTTTTTATTTTCAAAATTTTATGTTTTCCGTTTTAAGTTTGTGTATGTTTAAGTTTAATTAAAATAAAATTTTAAGTTTAAATGATCTTCTAATAGTTTATTTGTATTTAAATTTATTATTATTATTATTATTATTATTATTATTATTATTAATTATTATTATTATTAATTATTATTATTAATTATTATTATTAATTATTATTATTATTATTATTATTATTATTATTATTATTATTATTATTATTATTATTATTATTATTATTATTATTATTATTATTATTATTATTATTATTATTATTATTATTATTATTATTATTATTATTATTATTATTATTATTATTATTATTATTATTATTATTATTATTATTATTATTATTATTATTATTATTATTATTATTATTATTATTATTATTATTATTATTATTATTATTATTATTATTATTATTATTATTATTATTTATTTATTTTAGTTACAATAATATTTAGCTAGAATTATTTTTTATATTTGAATTTTTTAATTTTAATAACAATTACATGATTTAACATGACATTAATGATTTTAAAACAAAATTAAAATTAAAGTAAAATTATTTATTTATTTATTTTTGAAATATTTTTATTAATATTTTTATTAATATTTTTATAATTTTTTTTTTAAATAATAGATTTATTACGTTATGGGAATCTGGAATTATTTTGTTTCTTGAAAAAATAGGATTAATAAATTGGAGATATAATATATTTAATGGTAAACAATTTATCAATAATTATAAAATTCATCATGATAATTTTATGAATAATAATAATAATGATGTTTATACTCATAATATTGCATTAATTGATTTTAAAATATTATTTTATTTATTTATTTGTGGCTTAATTTTATCATTTAGTATTTTGTTTGTCGAAACGAAATTAATTTATTTAATTATTAATATTATAAAAAAATTTATTAAAAAATTGTTGAATAATTTGAATTTAATAATCATAAATATTTACACTTATTTTAATAGTATTTATTTGAATTTAATTGATTTTATTTAATTTTATTTTGTATACTAATTAAAATGTATTAAACAATTAAACAAATTATTTAAACAAATTTTTTTATTATATATAAGTCATATAAATATGTATTGAATTTAAATTCTAAATAAATAAAACTAAAATAACATTTAAACTTATTTTTAATTTTTATAAATTTATAAATTAGTTTAACAATTGATATTTAAATAGAAAATTACAAAAAAATAAATAAATAAAATAATTTTTATTACTTATTGTATATATGCTATAATTTATAATCTATAATACATACATATATATATATATATATATTTTATATTATATATATATTAATTAATGTTTATTACTATTTATCTGCAAACAAAAATATTTAGTTAACATATTATTTGGGGGTTTATTTGGGGGTAGATATTATATACTAGTACATTTTAGTTTATTTTTTAAAAATAAATAATAATATATATATAGTATATATAGTATACATTCACCCCCACGCATTATATAATATATATATATATATACATTTATATATAATTTTTTTTATATACAATGTATATCTATATAAGGAGTGCAATTTTTTTAAATAAAAATTTTATCATCTAATTTTTTTTTAAAAATGATTGATTTGATAATTATACATTGAATATATACAATATATATATTTAAAAAATAAATAAAAATCACAAGTTATTTTATTTTATATGAATTTTTTAAAAAAAATAAATACATTCAATGCTAAAAAAATAAATATATTATATAATAGTTTGATTTTTTTAATATAGTATTTTATACAGTATTTTACAATAAATTAATAACACAAAAATAAATTGTATATATATATATAGTATAAACTGGTAAAAAAAATATTATTAAATAATAAATTACTAAAACAATTATTGAATAAATTTATTTTTCACAACATATTATATGTAAAAATATATACAGTATTTTGTATATAAAAATTACACTAAAAATTATGGCGAAATTTTAGTACTTTTATCTATAGAGAAATTTACATTTGATTTCATATATTTATATTAATCATAAAAAGTACTAATAGTTTAACAGTTTAATACTAATACATTTAAATGCTTTTCAATGTCACCAAAACATACACACATAATACAAACACATACACATACACATATGTATACATATACACACATACAAACACACACACACACATACACATACACATACACATACACATACACATACACATACACATACACATACACATACACATACACATACACATACACATACACATACACATATGTATACATATACACACATACAAACACACACACACACATACACATACACATACACATACACATACACATACACATACACATACACATACACATACACATACACATACACATACACATACACATACACATACACATACACATACGGATACACACACATATACACACATACATACACATACATACACACACATACACACACATACATACACATAAATACACACACATACACACATAGACACACACACATATATATATATATATACACACATGCGCTAAAAATATATTATATTATCAATACATAAACAGTATATAAACAATTGTATTAATATAGGCGTGTCTTACACAATGTATATATATATATACAGTATTGTAGGAAAATCTATGTTTTTATTTGTGATCTATGATTGTGTGATATGCAGACAATATATACTGTAGTACTATATATATATATATACAAACATTAAGTGTATGTACTGTATGTTAATAACAACAACAACAACAACAATAATATATCACTAAATCAAGTATTGATATATAAAATAATTTACAGTACATTCTAAATATACTGTACTCTAAAAAAAAAATAAAAATAAATGTATTATTTATTAATTGTTTTTTTCAAACAAACAAAAATGTGTACAAAAAAATTGATTATTAATAAAATTAAATCATAACTATTATTATTATTATTGTTATTATTGTTGTTAATTAAATATATGATAAATAAATTTTTTATATTTTAATTATGTTTTCAACAATTATTTATTAATTTGTGTTATTAAACAACAACAACAACAAACAGTTAATAATTTTTATTTATTATTATTATTATTATTATTATTATTATATCTATTATAACTATTATTATAACTATTATTATCATAACTATTATTATAACTATTATTATTATTACTATTATTATCATAACTATTATTATTATTATTATTATTATTATTACTATTATTATTATTACTATTATTATCATAACTATTATTATTATTACTATTATAGCTATTATTATTATTATTACCATTATTAATTAATAATTTTAATTATCATCTAGCACCATTATTATCATCATCATCATCACCGACAACAACAACAACAACAACATAGTCATCAGCAGCGGTATATGATAACACTGTTATTTGGGGCGCACCGGTAGCTAAAAAAAAAAAAAGTCATACATCAAACACCACATCGACGACAGCACCCGACCCGACCCGACCCGACACCCATCGTGTTTAACACCAGTGGCCAGTGTTTAACCAACAACCGAGTTCAATAGACAGGTGTGGTCAGTATAGTACACGGGCTGCTAATCTCAATCATCTCAAGTGTCATATAGATCCCAACCACCCCCCACCCCCATACACCCATACACCCACCCACCCGCCACCACCACCACCACCATCAGCAGCAAAATGGGTCTGTTTCACGGCGGTGCCAAATGTCGGCTACTGTTTATGCTATCGTTGACCACTACATTCTTCTTGATTGAAATAATTGTCGGCTATATAACCAATTCGATGGCATTGGTTGCCGATTCGTTTCATATGTTATCGGATGTCGTAGCGCTGGTTATTGCCTACATATCGGTGAGGATGTCACCGAAAAAGTGGTCAAAAAATACGTTTGGCTGGGCCCGAGCGGAAGTGTTGGGCGCATTGATTAATGCCGTATTCCTGTGTGCCCTGTGTTTCTCGATTCTGGTCGAATCGTTGAAACGATTCTACGATCCCGAGGACATACATCAGCCGTATCTGATACTGGCTGTCGGCGTTGTCGGACTGGTGGTCAACTTGATTGGCTTAATGTTGTTCAAAGGTTAGTTCAAAGTATCTGTTGTTGTTGTTGTCATCGATGATGACTCTCTCTCTCTCTCTCTCTCTCTCTCTCTCTCTCTCTCTCTCTCTCTTTCATTATCTCTCTCTTTCATTATCTCTCTCTTTCATTATCTCTCTCTCTCTCTCTCTCTCTTTCATTATCTCTCTCTTTCATTATCTCTCTCTCTCTTTATCTCTCTCTCTCTCTCTCTCTCTCTCCCTCTCTCTCTCTCTCCCTCTCTCTCTACATATACACAATATAATAATAATAATAATAATAATAAGTATACTAATTGTTATTTATCTCCCGTCCCCCATCTCACAGGTCATGGACACGGCCACAGTCACGGAGGAGGCGGAGGACATACTGGTAGTAGTAGTAAAGGCGATGGTAGTAGTAGTAGTAGTCATACACACAATCATCACCATCATGTGCCCACTCATGAGGAAGATGAAGAGGATGAGGACGACGATGAGGATGACATCAATGATAATCATCATCAGCAGCAGCAGCAGCATATGGCCAGCACTGTTGATACTACCGGTACTACCAGTGCTACTGCTAAGCCAATCGCTGAGACAGCAGCAGCAGCCAAACTACCTACCAGTGCCGCTGCCGACAGTAAAAACAAAAAACTCAGGCCATCAACAACAACCAAAACCAACACCACTACCACCAACAACAACAACAACAACAACAACAAATCCCAGAGCCATAGCCACCAGAGCAGCAGCCATAGTAGCCGAGGCCAGAATATGAATATGCACGGCGTATTCCTTCACGTAATGGCCGATGCTCTGGGCTCAGTGATTGTCATCATCAGTGCATCCATCATAATATTTACCAATTGGCAGTACAGCCGCTACGTTGATCCAGCATTGAGTCTGATAATGGTCGGCATTATTATGCGCTCCACTTGGCCACTGTTGGTCGAGTCGGCTATGATTTTGTTGCAAACCGTGCCGACACATATCCAAGTGGATAGTCTACAAAAAAAATTGCTTAACGAAGTAAGTACCTGATCCCTGTCCGTCCCCTACCACCCCCACGCCCACCCACGTGTTAATATATTTGGGGGACAGTTAGGTTTTTTTAAATAAAAATTAATTAATTAATTGTAATTTAATTATAACCCGTAATTTATTTGTTTAGTTTTCTATAGAAAATTATATTATTATTATTTATTTTAATTTATTTAGTAATTTATAGTTTGTTTATACAATTACTATTAGTTTTAATTATTACTATTACTACTACTAGTAATTATATAGTTTTAATTACATATATTAAATATATATATATATTTACCGGTAAATTTAACTATATTAATTTTAATAATAATTATTAGATAATTAATATAAATTTAATTACTAAATAATTTATAGTATTATTTTGTTGAACATTAATTTTTTCCTCATTTAATTATTATTATTATTATTATTTACTATAAAAAATATTAATTATAATTTTAAGCGATTTTATCTCTCTCTCTCTCTCTCTCTCTCTCTCTCTCTCTCTCTCTCTCTCTCTCTCTGTTTGTGTGTTTGTTTTGAATTTTTAAGTTAAATATCTCAGAGATAAAAATAAAATCATTTAAATAACATTTTTTCAAAAAAAATTATTTATATTTTTCACTAATTTTCACTGTATGTCACCTGAAAAATATTTATTGATTTATTATTTTTCTAATTTTAATATGAATTTATTTTTAGTCTTTTTTAAAAAAATAAAATAAAATACTAATAAAATACCAAGGTCTTTTAGGTTTTTTTTAGAAATTTAATGTAACATCTTTAGTTTAAAAAAATTTAATATTTATTTTACTAAAATTTAATTAATTTCATTCAAATTTGAGTTATCTAATTGAAAAATTTTTCAATGATATTATTTTACTTAAAAAAAACATTATTTAAATGCTTAACATTAAAAAAAAATTAAAAAATTAATTTTAAGATATTTGAAAATATTTTGCAAACACAACAAAAAAAATTGTTTATTTTATTTTAATTAATAAATTAAATTAATTTTTCAATGATTATTAAATTTTTAGCAAAAAATATTTTTTTAAATATTGTATGCATTTGTCATAATAATAATAATAATTATTATTATTATTATTGTGAAAGTCATTGCGTTTTTAAAATAATAATAATAATAATCTTATTTTGAGATCAATTGAGATAATTATAATTGAAGACGATTTATATATATATATATATATATGTATTTTATATTTTAAAAATTTTTTTCAATTAAAATAGTAATTAATATCAATCAACAACAACAACAAACAACAAAAATTAATATCATATGATTTAAACAGAGTATATATATATATATGATATTTATTTTTAAGATTATTTTAGATTAATTTTTTTTGTTGATATCTATGTTGTGCTAGATTTCAATTAAATGTATTTAATAGTAATAATAATAATGATTTTTAATCGTATATTAATATCTCTCTCTCTTTCTCTCTCTCTCTCTCTCTCTCTCTCTCTCTCTCTCTCTCTCTCTCTAATATATCTTTTAAAAATAAATAAATAAAAATTTGATGTCTCCTTGATTTTGCAATTTTTAAGATTTAATATTTAATTAATTAACTCTATTTAAGTTATGATATATTTGTTTTAATAAATGTTTTTTTTTTCAATTGACAGATAAGTCTCTCTCTCTCTCTCTCTCTCTGAAAGTTTGATAAAATTAAATTAAAAAACTAAATAATTTTAATTGTTTTTTATTTATTACTTTTACTATTTATACATATATATATACAGTATTTAAACAATAATAGCTTATTATTATTATTATCAATAGTGTGTAATGTATTTTTTAAATTAAAATTTTATTTTATTTATTTTTATTTTTTAAAAAATTTAATTGTCTGTATTTACCGCTGATTAAAAAAATCATTTCTAATAATATGATATTTAATTGTATTGTTTGTTGATATTACATGACATTTTAAAATTCAATTTATATTTTTAGTATTATTATTATTATTTTATATTTTCAATAGTTTTTTTAAATGTGATTAATGTTTATTTTTATATATAAATTTAATTAATAAATAATAATAGTAATAGTAAACAAACTATAGTTACAAAATATATATATATTTTTATATTTATTGTTTAGTACTTTTAGTATACAATTTAAAAGATTTTTTGATTTGTTTAATCAAATAATAAAAAATATATAGGAATTTAGTTTTTTATAATAATAATAATATTATATAATAATTATATAAACGTAAAAAAAATTTACGATTGAATGAACAATTTATAAATTTTATTATATTTTTTATAAATTCAATTATAAATTGTTTAGATAGAAAAAAATATATTTATTTTTATATATATATATATATATATAAAAATCAATTTTTTTTCGCAAACAATGATTATTGATTTTTATTGTTTGTTGTTTTTGATAACAAATATATACTTAATTTTTTTTATAGTTTATTTATATACATATTATTATATAATATTAATTTTTTATTTTGAAAAGTGGGTATTTATGTGTTATTAATTTATATATATATATTTATATATTATTTTAATAATATAATAATAATTATTATTTTGTTATACACATGAGTTAATTTTTCTATTCAAAAAAAATAGATAAAAATATCTATTTTATACAATTTTTTTTGTATTTGTATAAAATTATTATGACTTTAATATATATTTTTAAAAAATATTATTTATAGTTAACTGATTTTTGATTACATTTACAGTACTATTATTATTATTATAAAATAGATATTATATTCAAAAAAATATTTTTTTTTATCATTAATTATATATTTTTTATCAGATAATAATTTAATTGAAAATTGACAGTAAAAATATAATTATAATTATTTATATATATATATAAACAGTAATTACTATTTAATATTTAGTAAAAATTATTATTAATTAATTAAATTTAAAAAAAACTATTTTTTATTATTTATACAAAACATTTTTGTTTTATAAATACCTTATTATTAGATTTTAATTTAAAAATTACTAATTAATTAATTAATTTTCAATTTAATTCAATTAAAGTTAATACAATTTTTTTGTGCATTTAATAACCGTAAAAACAGATCGATGGCGTACTGGCCGTCCACGAGTTTCACGTCTGGCAACTGGCCGGCGACCGTATCATTGCTTCGGCGCATATCCGATGCCGAAATCTGGTCGACTATATGGCTATTGCCGAAAAAGTTAAAGAATTTTTCCACAACGAAGGCATCCATTCGACTACTATTCAGCCCGAGTTTGTCGAACTGTCCGGTCAGATACCCGCCGGCGGCGGTATCGGCGGCGGCAGCGGCCGTAACGATGACGGCAGCGGCCGACTACACGGCAACGACGACTACTACTACTACAACAATTATGACGATCGGGATCGGGATCATCAGCTCCGGGAGGAGTACGAAGCAGCGGCTGCCGCTGCAAACAACTCGTGCTACTTGAGCTGTCCAACTGAACAGCGTACCAATTGTTTGGCCCAAACGTGTTGCGGACTTCAACAGCAACAACAACAACAACAACAACAGCTGCAGACAACCAACAAAAGTAGTGCAGCCGATAGTGGCGTTGGACAGCAATTATTACCACCACCTCCGCCGCCGCCGCCCCAAACATTGGTGATCACCAATAAGGCCGTCGTCGCCGCCACTGACGATAATGTTGTCGATCAGTTGCCGACACCACCGCAACCAGTGTTGAGACGCAATCGCAAGAGTCCTACCGGTGGTGGTAAAGCCGGCGTCGGCAGCGGTATTATCGATATCGAGGCCAACGACAGTACCGATACTAAGTCGTTGAACGAGTTTTATTCGGTGGCCATATCTATTATGGGTTCGGGTTCGGGATTATCGTCGACGTCGTCCGGCACCGATGAAAAAGATTCGGGTGTTTAATAAGTGGTCAAATTTTTTTTTTAAAATTATTAATTGGTTGTTTAAAAAAAACAAACAAACTATCAGTGTTTATGGTGTGTGTGTATGTGTTTTGAGGACATACCGGCACACACACACACACATACTTACCGGTACTATTAGACTACTACTACTACCGCTACTAATACTAGACTGATATATATATATATATATATACTGTATATGTTATATACTGTATATATACTGTATATGTTATATATATATATATATATATATATATATACTGTATATGGGATCTCATTGAGTGCTAAATTTAAATTAAACAAATAATTAACCGAAACCTCAATCATAATCATCTACAACAACAATAACTACTACTACTACTACTACATTGACTGTGACTTATTTTATTATATATTTTTTTAATTATTATTTTTGTTTTTTTTGTTGTGAAGATTATATATTTTAGTTGTTTATTATTATTATTATTATTATTATTGAAAATTATTTAATAATAATAATAATATGATAATAACGTATAATAATGGATAAACCATAACTAATATATTGATGATTATTATTATTAATAAAACAAATTGAGATTTTTTATTATTATTATTAGTATCTTAAGTAATATATTATTATTATTATAAGGTTTAATATATTAATATATATATAAAAAAAGTTAATTATTAATAATGAATTTTTTTTTTAATAAATTGTATGTAAATAATATATTAATAATAATTTAAATTTTAGTTTAGTTATATACAAATAATATATATATATGAGATATATACTAATAATATATATATACCTAAATAATTAATTAGATTTTATATAATTGTCAAAATAATACTGATTTTTTATTATATAATTTTTTTAATTTTTATATAATTTAATATTATGATTATTTATTAAATTAATTACAATAATTTAAATTGTATGTTACAAAACAAATCTGATTTTTTTAAAGTAATAATTATTACTATTATTATAATTGTTATAATAATTTAAATGAATGTCACAATTGATTAGTTTGTTTTTAAAAAATATAAATATAATTTTTAATTAGTAATTATTACTGTTTTTTATTAATTTTATAATTATAATTATTAATAATAATAAATTTTAATTAAACAACTTATCAAATCTTAAATCAAAACAAAAAAAAAATTAATACTAATTTAATATTATTGTCGTTATTATTATTATTATTACTGTAATTATGAATTATATATAATGATTAAAATTAATACATTTTATTGCATTTATAGATAATTATAAATTAATAAATTTATATAATGTTAAAAATAACAACAACAAAATTGTATATTTATATAAATATATATTGATATATATATATATAAACGTTTTATACTATTAATATTTCTAAAAAAATAATTGTAATTTTTAAAAAAATATAATTAATTTTATTTGTTTTTAAAAAAAATCATATATAATATATAAAGATTTGTTAATTCAATTGTTAACTAAAAAAAAATATGAGTCTAAATAATCAGTTTTTTTATATAATAATTATAATATTAATAGATTTTTAATAATTAATAGCTATATATATATAATATTAATATTATTATTGTAAAATTTATAAACAATTGATAGTTTTGAAACTATTAATAAATTAAATACTATTAATATGATAATATGTGATTCATATATTTATAATATACAAGTATATAAATTATATTTTAAAAAAAATGTTTTCAACAAACTATAAAACAATTTTTTTTGAAATATTATTTGTTTTTTTTAATTATTATTTAATTAAATACCAATTAATTAATTGATAAAATTAACTAGCTTGATAACTTATTTTTTCAAATAATTACAAAATTTCTAATATATATATAGCAATGATTTTAGTATTATTGTTTATTTATTATTATAACTAGGTAAATTTTGTTTTAAAAAATAATTACATAATTAATTTTGGTTAAATTGTTTTTTAATATCATTAATATTTAAATCAATAAAAATTTTTAGACAAAAAAACAAAATTACAGTTTATTTATTTAATTTTTTTTAAAAAATTGATTTAATAAATATAAATAAATTTTAGTAATTTATTTTTTTTAAAAATTATTTTCTAAAGTTTTCAATTAAGTATTTAAATATAATATATAAAAATAGTTATATTTTCCATAATTAAGCAAAAAAAACAAAACAAAAATAATAATCAAATATTACGTAAATATAAATATAATGTTATGTTTTATTAATTAATTAATTTCTAATAATTCTGCAATAATTATATGGAAATTTTTTTTTCATAGTTAAATATTTTAACAAATAAATATATAAAACTATAAATTTTATTATTATTATTATCATTTATTGTCGATATAACATGTTAGTGTATAAATTTTTATAAGTAAAAAATAAAATAAAATATTATAAATTTTTATATAATCAATATCATGTTAAATAAAAAATAAATATTTATAATATTATAAAATTCAATATCATATAAAAATTTTTTATTATTGCATTTTTGTTTGATGATTACATTTAGTATGTAATTAATTAATAGGTTTATATATATAAATAAATTAAAAATTTTAGTATTGGATTTTTTTGAAAAATTTTAATAAATTAATACTTTATAAAAATATATAGATTTTAATTAATCTCCAAATATCGTTATATTTTTTTGTAAAAAAATCAAATTTGATAATACAAATTGTATTATCAAATTTTATTTTGTATTGTATTGTATTATACACTATAAAAATAATTTTATTTTTAGCAAATTAAATAAAAAAAATTAAATATTTATAATAATACTATTATTAGTTATTATTATTCAAAATAAAAATTTTTTTAATAACTAATAAAAAACAATAAAATAAAATAAATAAAATAATGTTTGACAAACATATAACAAAATTAACAATAATTATTGTTTTTGGTAAAAACATAAAATAAACTTAATTATTTCAAAATTTATATTTTAATATTATAATGTTAACCTTGAATATCAATCATATATGTTTCAGTTTATTGAATTAATTAATATATATATATATATATTGATATAATTAATATATTTAAAAATTTATTTAAACTATATAAACTAATATATATGAATGACCCTAATTTTATAGGTATATAAAAATTGGTTTTAATTAACTATTTATTAATATTAATAATAATCAGCAAATATATTAACAGTACATATATTAGTACTTTTTTAGTTTAAATCAAAATATATATATATATCAAAACTATATATATATATTAATAATTTTAACTATAAAAATTTTAATTAAAGTATAATTAGCTACATTGAACACATTAATCTAAATAGTTATATATGTGTTAATAAAATAAAAATAAAATCAAAAAATCAATATAAAAATTCATTGTCATATTTTTAATAAATAAATAAAAATTAAAAAATGATAATTCAATGTCTCTCTCTCTCTCTCTCTCTCTCTCTCTCTCTCTCTCTCTATGCATACATATTACAAAAATCATATATAATATAATAAAAAATAAATAAATATTATTTTCATCTAATTGCTACCAAAAAATAAAAAAATAAATAAAATAAAAACAACATCATATAATAAGTAATTGATAGATTAAAAAAAACCAGTAATAATAATAATAATAAAATTAAAATTTTTAAATTTTATTTTAATAATAATATAAATATATATATATATATATAGAAAAAATTAACTTAATAAGATTTTTTTTGAAAAATATTTATTATAAACATATAGTTGTATTATAAAAATATATGTAATTTAAAAAAAATGTAAAATTGGTTATTGATTATTAAAAAAAATATATATATATATCAATAGTTTAATATAATCTAACAAAAGTGCAATAGTTTTATATATATATTAAAAAAATTATTTGTTAAATGTTTTATTATATATTTTTTGTGTGTTAAATATTAATTTGTTTTTATTTTTAATTAATTATTTGTTTAATTAATTACACAATTAAAATAAAAAATTTAAAAAAAAACAATGTTAAATGTTTCATCATCATCATCAATAATAATAATAAATAATTACAAACAATTAGCCGATTATTATTTATATGATTTTTGGTCACACTATGGGGACAGTCGTATGAAACAGTTTAGCTGGTTTTCAGGTGCCCAGGGTCTATACTATCTGCTAGCAATAATTGCCATATATCTAGCACTAGTACTACAAGTGATACCCCAATGGATGTCCAATAGTAAACCCTGGGATCTGAAACTGATTATACGCGGCTATAATGGTCTACTAGTGCTGATTAATGGCTACTATTTTTTCTACGAGCTCCGGGAGCTGGACTACGGCTGGAAATTGATGACCGATTTTGCCGTACCCGACGATCGGCAATGGTCGCCAACCATTGGGTATGAATTTAGTATTTTTTTTAAATATAAATATTTTTTGGAAAATGTTTTTCAATTAAAATATATTAGGAATTTCTGGGAAAAGTTTTTCTTTTTTTTAAAAATATTAGGAATTTCTGGGAAAAGTTTTTCATTTTTAAAAAATATTAGATATTTCTGGGAAAAGTTTTTCATTTAAAAAATATTAGAAATTTCTGGGAAAAGTTTTTCATTTTTAAAAAATAATATAAATTTCTGTCTATTGTGATTCCCCCTAATAATAATAATAATAATAATAATAATAATTATTATTATTATTATTATTATTATTATTATATTTTTTGTTATACAGTATTATTATTACTAGTATTTTAATTATTTTTATATTGAAAGTAACAAAAAAATAATAATAATTCATTTAATTTATATTATAATAGAGTAAATAAATATAAATTTTACTAAAAAAAACTATATAATTATTATTAATTAAATTATAATTATATATAATTAGTAAAGTATTACAATAGATAGATATAGTTATTTAAAATAAAAATTTCAATATATACTGTATATATAACTTTCTTTTTTAAAAAAATTAATTATAAAATTTCTATTTGTCTACTAACCCACCCAACACCCACACCCACCCACCCATCCCTACCCTACCCTACCCCCACACTAATTTAGATATGACATACACCGTGTCTATTGGTATCATTGGACAAAACTACTAGATCTAATGGATACCATATTTTTTGCTCTGCGCAAAAAGCACCGGCAGATAACTTTCCTGCACCTATACCATCACTCAACTGTTGCCCTACTATCATGGCTGGCCATATGGTACCGGTTCAATATGATGCCCCTGAAACTGTTTATCTTGCTTAACTCATTTGTACATACATGTATGTACGGATATTATTTGTTGGCAACCTATGGATCAGCCAGGTTACACCAGTATCTATGGTGGAAACCTTGGCTAACCAAGCTACAGTTGGCCCAATTTATCGTATACATAGGCTATGGTACCCTGGTCGAGCACCTGGGTGTACCATTTCCGCCACTATTGAAATATTATACACAACTACAGAGTCCCGGRTTTTTMTATATGTTTTTCAACTTTTATCGCAATAATTATGTTAATAATAATAGTAGTAATAATAAAAAATTAATTTAAATAATTAATTTCTAATATTTTTTTTTGATAGAAAAATAAATTGCAAATTAATATTTAGATATTAATATATTTTAATATAAAATTTTCTATTAGTATATATTAAACTATATTTTTTTATAGATATATTAGAAATTTAGTAAAATTTTTTCATAAATAAAAAAATGTAAAATTATTAGATTATAAATTTGAGAATTGAATATAAATTATTTTTTTTTTTGGTTTATTTAGTAAAAATTTAACAATTTTAATTGTACACTAAATGATTATTTTTACAATATTTTTATTTAAATAAAAATAATAATACATTTATTAAAACAATAATATAATTTATAAATTATTTATAAATTAATATTAACTATAACTTAAATTTAAATAAATACATATTTTATTTTTCATTGAATTTAGTTAATGTGTTTATGTTAATGTTAGAAAAAAATGTGTTTACAATATATATTTATAATATAAATTGTATATAATATTTTATTTTCAATGTTATAATTATATAGAGTAATGTATATATATTCAAAATATGTATATAAAAATAGATTATATTTAGACAGCAATTTCAATGATATTACGTAAAAATTTTGAAGGCAATAATAATAATATTTTTTTCAAAAACATACACACACATACACACAAATATATACATACATATATATATACATACACATATACATACATACACACATACATACATACATACACACACACCCACATCTACACATTAGGCATCTAAACAGCATCATTAAGCCCATCAACATCATCATCATAACCAACCATACATATCGTTATTTTTGAAAAACCTATTTATTGCTCATTGCAATTGCAATACCAGCTAATAATAATAATAATAATAATACTAATATTTAGACAGAAAATGTATATATAGTTTAGTATAATAATTATTATTTACACAAAAAATATTTGTTTTTTGAAAACACACAGAATATTATATATAATTATAACAAACAGTAGTGAATATCTATCTCTATAGCAGAATATTCTGTTATATTTTCACTGATTATTAACTTAAAGTAAATATAAATTATTTTAACTATAAATATTAATTAATTAATTAAATTAATTAATTAAAAAAAACAATTATAATGTTACCACACGTTTGTACTACTCATCAGTGCCTGGAATCGCTATCCAAACCTGTATTTCCTAATGTAAGTCAACAAAAAATAAATAATTTAATTAATTAAATTAATTAATAATTAAATATTTCAATAATTAATTAAATTAATTAAATATTAATCTATAAAGAGTTATATTGATCACCGATACGATGGTGTCGATCGGGTTAACCTATATTTCAACGAATTGAACAATAGGTACGACCATATTATACGGCCATCAACTGAGCGACGTATAGCCGACTTTCGTAAACGTCAGGACAGGGCTATGAATAATCTGAACGATTCGCGGCTCCGGTACTATCAGAACAGGAATATTGAACGCCGGGGTGAACTGATTGATGGTTTACAAAGGCATACCATTGCCCATCATAGGAATCGTATCTAAAAAATCAAACATACAGTTCCTCTCTATTGTGTTTTATATGAGGGGGAGGGGGCAAACCCCCCCCTCCATCCTACACAAACTTATGGTATAAAATAATATAAGTTTTTTTGTTTGTTTAAATCAAACAATTAATATTTGCTACGATTTTTTTTGATGCTATTATTATTATTATTATTATTACTATTACTGTATAATTATTTAAATAATTATTTATTAATTAATTATTTACTGTATATCTATAGTTTAGTTTGTTTTGTTTGTTTTTTTTGCATAATATAATTATTTGATATATATTTTTTTAAAATAAAATTTATTATTATTTTGAAAATAATTAATAATAAATTTTATTTTATTTTGAAAAAATTAATTAATTAATTAATTAATGTTTTTTTTGTGTCGATGTTGTTGTTGTAAAATGATATGCAAACTGTTATGATATGCAAAAAAAAAATTAATAATTTTTTATATATATATATATATAAAATGATTTGAAACTTATTATTATTACGACTATTATGTTTTTAAATAATTTTAAATAACATTATTTGATATTTTATTTTTAATGAAAAAAATACGGTTAAATTTTTATTATTACTATTATTGTAATAGATAATATTTTTTTTATTATTTGATAATTATTATATTGTGTTACTATTACTTATTTTACATATGTGTTTGCTATATATATATATATATTAATTATTAAAAATTATCTATTAATCTGTTAGTAATAAACAATTTTAGTAATCTAATCATTATTGCAATAATACTGACAATAATTGTAATATTAAAAAATTGTTGAAAAATTATTTATATAAATATTAGTTGCAATTAATTATTATTATTATTATAAAAACATTTATAAATGTATTTAATATATTATTATTATTATTATAAAATGTGAATTTAATAATTAATTGTTTATTGTATTTTGTGAATTAACTAAATAAATAATAATTACAAATTGTTTTTTTTTTGAAAACTTAATAATTAATTTAAATTAAATTGTTAATTATCAAATTAATTAAATAATAAAATTTTATCTAACTTCAAATTAAACAAACAAAAAATAAATAAATGTGTCTAGTAAAATTGTTGCTAGCTTGTTTAGTGCCACCTATATCAATTGTAATACTAACAAAATCATGGTGGTCATCGACCTTGCTAATTAATCTACTATTAACTTGCCTGGGTTGGATACCCGGGTCAATACATGCTTGCTATCTAGTATTAACTAGAATTGAACCCGAAATCTATCATGTTACAACAAACAATAATAATAATAATAATAATAATAATAGTTTTATTAGGACTAAACAAAATGAGCATGCTAATTTACAACAATTACCTAATTTTATACCGTTACAATTTATTATTAATTTACAAAATCAATTACAACAACAAAATAATAATAATTTTAATGAAAATAATTATAATAATTATATTGAAAATCAACAAACAATTTATACGATAACAAATACATATGATTGTTAATAATGTTATTTATTTATTTTTGTTATTTATTAATATTTTAATTTTATAATAATTAAATAAATAGTTAATAATATTTCCAAATTAATTATTATAAATAATTAAAAAATTATTGTTAAAACTTGTATACATATAATACATTTACTTATATAAAACAAATTAAAACTAAAAATACTTTTTTTTTTATTTTTGAAAAATTAATGACAAGTTTACTGAATCTTTAAATTTTAGATTTTTTTTCAGAAATCTGTGTTCAAAAAAATAATATAAAAAATTTCAAAATGTTTAATAAAAATAGATTTATTTACACATTTAAATCTAATATAGAGATTACAGTATTATTACAGTCAATACTAATTAATAGCTAAAATAATAATAATTATAATAATATATAAATTAATTTAATTTGTAGTAGTCGTTGGCCAATAATATTTATTTTATAAATAATTATATTTTTATTATTAAAATAATAGTATATATATTGTAAATATTTGAGGTTACATATGATTTTTTTTAAAAATTTTATTTATTTATTTTTTTTTAAACAAATAGATGAATTACGTAGTTAGATATTGCAAAAATATTTATTTAAAAAATATATTTATAAATAACTAATATATAATGCGCATGTATAATGTGTAATACAAAACACATACACACATAAATACATGCATACAAACATAGACACAGACATACACACACATACACACACACATATATACACACACATGCATATACACACATACATACACACACATACACACACACACATACATACATACATACACACACACACATACACGCACACATACATAAATACATACATATACACACACATACATCACACATACACACACACACATACACATACACATACACATACACACACACACACACATAGTTGTAATTAATAATTTTAAAAATAGATTTTTTAAAAAAAATGTTGACACCAATTATTTGTTATACAGTAAATGAAATGTGAAATGTTAAGTGAATATTATATATAGATATATATACAGTGTATTAAAAATATTTTTTAAAAATGTATAAAAAATAATATTATTATCAAAATTATCTAATCAACAAAAAAAAATTAATTAATTAATTACTTATAAAACAGTGTAATATAGCTAACTATTAATAATAATAATAATTATTATTATTATATTAGTAGTAATCTCATCACACCCAGCCCTACTTAACCTACCCTAACCCACACCCACACACCAGGTTAGGTCAGGTTAGGTATAATAATATCAAAATTATCTAATCAACAAAAAAAAATTAATTAATTAATTACTTATAAAACAGTGTAATATAGCTAATTAATAATTAATAATAATAACTATTATTATTATATTAGTAGTAATCTAATCACACCCAGCCCTACTTAACCTATCCTAACACCCACACCCACACACACACACCCATCATCATCATCATCGACAACAACAATGTCATACTCTAGGCGACACCTGCCACCGCCAACTATGCCATCCATGGAGGCCTACCAATCGATTATGCGTAACAATCATTGGTACAATTTCCGGCCGCACCGGGAACTACTCCGTGAAGAGGAACGGGATCGCCAACGGTTGCACACCCAACGTAACGTCGACTATCGATCCCGTTTGGATCAGATCAGGCAACGCGCTAGGGAATGGGATCAGGACAGCCAACAGGAACACCTACGTAACATCAGACAGGCCCAGTACGACCGGGATCTGACCGAGTGTCAGCTGGAAGGCCTACAGTTGAAGTTGGCCAATATGTCGGCCCGTTTGCTGGCGATGCCCCGTTTGTGCGAAATCAAAATGACCGACCTGTCCATTAAGGACGTCCCGCTCAGGCAACTGGAACAGGACAAGCGTGATAAACGGCTGTCCGATATTAAAGATTATCTATATTTGAATACCCGATAGTAATAATAATAATAATTTAATTTAATTAAAAAAAATATTGTATTATTATTATTATTAATATTATAATTACATAATTATTATATTATTGTATAATTATTAATGTTTTATTTATATTAATTCCCATTTGTTGTCGAAAATTAAATTATTATAATATATATATATATATATATATATAATATAATATAATATATAATATGTATATTAACTTAAAATATAAATTGAATAAATTTAAAAAAATTATTATAAACTATTTAAAAAATTTTGTAATATATTATTTTTTAAACAATTTAATTAAATATATAGACAATTAATAACAATTTATTTTTATCATTTTATAATACTTGTTGACTTTATAAAAATATTTAATTAAAAAAACTAACAACAATAACATAAAAATTTATATAATAAATACAATATACTGTATACTCTATTATATACAATAATTTATATATATATAAAACTAAATAAACTTAAGATATCTATAATCTATAGTAATCTATAGGTACAATGTATTCAACAGCAAAAAAAAATAATCAAACTATTATAAAACATATTTATTTTCTTAGTAATAGTTTTTTTAGTATTGAATTTATTTATTATTTTTTAAATTTTATATGAAACAAAAATGTTATTATTATCTTTATACATTATGTATAATTTTCAAAACATTTTGACACATTATACAGTTAAACAGTATAATTATATATTGATATATTATATAATGGGTGTGGTAGTGTATACTGTATATAAAATTAATTATATATTAATATTTATTTTTTGAAAATAAAATGTACTATTGAATAAATATTTAATATTTTAGTTAGATTTTTACTACCCTAATAATGTTTATTACTATTTATAGAATATATTTAAGCATGATAAAAATTTTTTAAATATAAGTATTGATAACCTATACAATTTTGTATGTTATTATTATTATTATAAATAAACATGAAATAAAAATTTTTATTTTTTACTATTATTGAAATATTCAATATTTTTATATTATAAATATAATATAATCATTATATTAGAAATTAATTGTAAATATAATTGCATACATGTTAGATTATAATTATTTTTTAATTATAACTTATAATATTAGTTATGCATAACATACTATTGTAATAGAAATTATATATATATATATTTTTATTTAATATATATACATGTACATGTAATATGTATGTATATATATATTGATTTACAATATTTCCAATAAGTTTATTTCAACATTTGTTTTCTTGTAATGCTGAGACTAATAAAAAGTTCAAAATAATTTATTATAATTACTTATTAAGATTATTTTTATTACAAAATTAAATATTTAATAATAAATTATATTATATAAATTGTTTTCCCTATTATTGTAATCTTTTATCTATTTCTATTTATTTAATAAATTATAGTGAATTTTAATAATAATTAAACTGCAATTCAATTGCAATAAAAAAATTATATAACTAAAGTTACTTAACAAATTTTTAAAAAATATAAATATATATTATTTTATTAATATAAAATTATTTACAACTAATTAAAATTAGCAAAATTATGATAAATACTACACTTAAACTAATTTTGCTAAAAAATATAAATTTTTTAATAATAGAAAATAATAATAATGAAAATATTATTTATAACAATACTATTAAATGTCATTTGAATGTTGCAATACAAATGGTATGCTAATTACTATTACTATTACTATTACTATTACTATTACTATTACTATTACTATTACTATTACTATTACTATTAC